GTTTAGTCTTATTCTTTCGTTACGGATTATGTGTGTTGATCTTGTTCTTGTCGTTTAGTCTTGGTCTTATTCTTGCTCGTCTCCCCATCGTGTTGCTCGTCGCCTAGCCCTAGTTTTGGTCGCAGTCTTAGTCTTAATGATACTGTTATCCTTGTTTTCACCATTAGAATTTCTCTCAGTTTTAGTCTTTCTCTAGCTGTTGGACACAGTTTCATTCTTACTCATAGTCATTTTTGTGCCATTACGCTTAGTATTTACTCTTTGCTGTTTGGATTTTGCTGTTTACATTCGTTTTTGCAAGTTAGTTTCCTCTGCTTGTTTCCGTTTATTTGTACTCTTACTCTGATTTTGACTCTCACTTGTGCTCTGACCTGCTTTTGATCTTACTTTTACTCTTACCCTTACCCCTTGCCGTGTTAGCCCTCGCCCTCCGTATCCTTATTTTTTTCGCGTTTTACTCCTTGTTGTTTATTCCTGCCTTCTTCGCTCTTTGCTCGTAGTCTTGCTAGTATTCTTGCTGAACTCGTTTGTGCCCTGACCCTTTTGTTTGCCTTTACTCCCAGTTTGATTCCTCTCGTTAGTATTTCTTGACCTCTCATTGTTGCTTTTACTCTTAGTTTTACTCGCTGTTGTTTGTTACTGTATTGTTTACTCTTTACTCTGGCTTTTACTCTTTACACGTACGCGTTTCATTTGTTACTCTTCTTGGTTCTTGGTCTTAGTCCTAATCCTACACGTGGTCATAGTCTGAATCTGTTTGTTGTCATGTGTTTTACTCTTACGTGTACTCCTACTGTTACAGTCCGCGTTGTACTCTTATTGCTATCATTGCGCTTCGTGTTCTTACTCTTCTTGTTACCCTTCCCCATGGAATTGCTTCGCCCTCTTACTCTAACTTTGGCTTTCAATCTTACTTTTTACTCGTACTAGTAGTCATAGCTTTACTCTAACTGCAATTTTCGTTTTGATTTTAGTTTTCGTTGTATTTTTGGTTTTGCTCGTGTTCGTGTCCCCTCTCCGACGCTCACTCTTGATTCGTTACTCTTTGCTCGGTACGCTTGTTTTATCTTTACTAATTAATGACCCTGAAATTTGATCTGTTTTTGTTGGCGCTATAGTGTTTGTTCTTTGTTTTCACTTTTAGTGTTAGCCTTAGTCTTGCTTTTCCGGCGATTGCTATTTTTGTTTTTGCAATTTTACGGGGGCTGTTTGTTGAGAGTTTATTCATGCTTTTTTCCCTGGACTTACTCTTGCTTTACTCCTCATTCTTTATTCTTATTCTTTTAGTCTTTACTTTGTATTCTCCCACTTTTTGCTGTTGTTCTTAGGCTCAGTGTCTTTCTCTCCCTCTTTTCTTTCCCCGTCCCTCAGTCCCACTCACTCTCAGTGTTTTTTTTTGCTGTTGTTCCTTACTTATGTTTTAAAGTTTTATTCGTTCTTACCCTTGCTCCCACTGTTACTCGTAGTTTTACTCGTGAGTGTATTGTTGGTTTTTATTGTTTTTTTGTTGTTACGTTTTTTCTGTGTATTCCTTAATCTTTACTTACTCTTTACTTTTTTCAAACTGTTACCGTTACTCTGACTCTTACATGCTCTTACGGCAATTTGCAGTCTTACCGGTGTTTGTAGTCTTGTCTTTACTTTTTTCATGCTGTTGCTGTTGCTCTTACTCTTACGCTTACGCTTTTTGTGGCGCCTTGCTCTGACCCTCAGTTGTGCTCGCAGTCGTATTCAAGTTTTCTTTTTAAGCTGTACTCACACTTTTGTTGCTCAGTCTCCTTCTCCTGTTCTTGTTCGTTTGCTTACGTTTTGTATTCTTGCAGTGTTTATCATTTTCACCCGTAATCTTACGCTTAGTCTTAGTCTTTTGCGCTGACTGTTGACGCTTTCGTCTTTGCTCTTTACTCCTGCCCGTTTCCCTTTTTCGACTTAGGGTACTCTTTCGGCTCTGTACTCTTTGATCCTAATTCGCTACTCTCAATTTTTTTGGTCATTCCGATCGTTTTTTTTTTGTGCTCTTGTGCTTGTTGTTATAATAGCGTTTACCCTTCACTCTTCGTTGCTCTTTACGCATCATATCGTGTTGCTGGTTTCCTTTGTTTTTTTTCTGTACTGTTATTCTGTACTTTTAAAGCTCTTTATAGGGGTTTAGGGGTTTAGGGTTTAAGGTTTAGGGTGTATAGGGTTTAGGGGTTTAGTAATCTTCATAGTTTACATTGCAGCTTTTCTTCTGATACCTTTTGCTTTCGATTTTTCATGCTGTACTATGTATTTGTCATTATCTGCTCTTACTGTGTCTTACTTGCTTTGATTCTTTACTACTCCTGCTGGTGAACTTTGCTTCACTTATTATAATTATTGTTATTCTTTCTATACCTTTTGATTGTTTATTGTTAGTTTTAGGCTTTATCTCGTTCTTGTCTGTATTCATCTTCTTATGTTTATTCTGATTATTGGTCTGATTATTATTTTATTATTATTAATCCGTATCCTTAACATGATTAGTGTTCTCATTCTTCTTGTTCTTACTATTCTTATTATTCTTATTGTTGTTTGTATTTATATTATTATTCATGTTTTCTTTTATATCGTATTTTTTGTTGTTATTATTCTGCCTAGTCTTAGCCTCATTCTAATTTAAAACTTATCCTCTTATTCTTCTTGCTACCTTTTTCCACTGTGTTATTTTGTTATATTTTGTTATGGTTTTGTCTCATGAACCTTCGTATTTCGATTCTTATTCTTATTCTGATTTTTGTTGTTGTTTATTCTTATTAATGTTATTTGTATTCGTATTATTCTTGTTTTTTCAACTGTTCTTGTTATTCGTAGTCTTAGTCTCATTCTGATTCTTATTCTGATTGCTATTGATTATTATTATTATTATCACTATTATAATTTTTTTTGCGTTTATTATTTTTGTTAATGTTATTACATTTTAGTCGTAGTCTTAGTTTTAATCTCACTTTTCTTATTCTTATTTTTGTATTATTATTAGTCTCATTCTTATTGTTCTGATTTTGTTTATCCCTTGTGATTGTTATCGTGCTTGTTATTCTTAGTCCTAGACTGGGTCTCTTACTTATCATCACGGTCACACTTTATATTTTTATATCATACTTTTATTGTTGTTGTTGTTGTTGTTGTTGTTGTTATTCTTAGTCTTAACCTCATTCTTGCTCTTATTCTTCTGGTTTTGTTCATTGTGTGTGTCATTTTTTGTTGTTATCGGTGTCCTTAGTCTTAGGTAGAGCCTGCGTCGCATTCCTATTTTCATTAGTACTACCATCCTTATTTTTATCATCATTATTCTTATTCTTCGTCCGATTCTTATACTTATTCTGCTGATTTGTGATCACTTTATGGCTATTTTTTATTATTCGTTTCATTCTTATTGTTATCACTTTGAATTTGTTGTTCATGTTCTGTTTTTGTTATTGTTTTTGCTCTTTCGCTGACTCTTGCGTTTATTCATTTCCTTGCTGTTGTTCTTCTGTCTGGCTTATGTTTCAGAAATTTATTAGGGTACGGGATTTTTGGGGTTGAGACATATGAGTTTAATTAAGGCTAAAGCTGAAGGAAGGAGGCACTATCGAGGTTCAGGTCCGGGTTGCCTTTTGAAAGTTAGGGGCTGTGCGGTTTTTGGCTTAAGATCTTGAGGAGTTGGGACTTACAGCTGCATTTTGAACATAAGTCGAAATCCCAGAGCCGGATGTAAGTGCTACTGTACGACACAACGTCCCAAACCATGAAGTTCAGTAAACCTTGCAGCCGAGTAGCCCTTCAACTGTTCCAAACCTTGAACTTCAAAACCTGAACCTAAGCCCTAAGCCCTAAGCCCTAAGCCCTAAACCGTAAACCTTAAACCCAAAACCAATGTAGACCATACCTCCAAGTCAAACTCCCGCTGAACCCCAGACTGCAATCAATAAATAGCTTCGAGAAGCGCAAAAGAAGCCCAAAGCGGTGAAGTCCCGACCCTTTGAGTTGTAATTCCAGCAATGTTGCATCGAAAACCATGTCCTAAACCCCAGACCCCACAGCAAGCTTTAAGGTCCAGAGTTTGTATTTCAACTAACTCAACACCATGCCTATGCAAAGGAACGCTCGCGCCAACTCCACCAACATTTCACAGCAACCGCCGAGCTCCTGACCAAAGGTCAGTGGAACGCGGCTTTCAATCCTTGACAAAAACAAGAGGTTCTGTGTTGCGGGCTTTTGAGGAATAAACTGTTTTTGTGGCGAATATGTCATACTCCTAAACCCTAAACCCTAAACCCTAAACCCTCATTTTCAGACACCTGGAGATTTGGACGGTTTGCTTTTCGGGCCCAGGGTCACACCCAAGGCTTCGGTTGAGTGTGTCGCAACTCCAACTTTGCCCTTACTCTCCAGGTACCTACTATATAGGGCCCTAGGGGCTCTAGGGTTTAGGGTTTAGGGTTTAGGTACCTACTATATAGGGCCCTGGGGGCTCTAGTACCCTCTATGGTAGGTACCTGGAGGGTTAGGGTTAGATTTTGGAGTTTGGTTGAGATTGTGTTTATAAGCGCGGAAGGCCTGGAGTCGAACTTGGTGAACCTGAGTTGTACGGTTCCGTGCTCAGGGTTTAGGGTTTAGGCTTAGGGTTGAGGGTTTTAGGGTTTTGGGTTTAGGGGTTTAGGGTTTAGGGAGGGTTTAGGGTTTCGGGTTGAGGGTTTTTGGTTTAGGGTTTTGGGTATTGGGTATTGAAGCGGAAAGCACTGCACAGTTTTCGATGCATTAGATTCATTGCAAGAGTGAACCCCAACAGTTGACACACGGGGGCCACTCCGCAGTTCCAGTCTTCTGCGTTGAGCGTGGTGTTCGTGCTCATACCATTGTTGGAACTTTGATGGGTGCAGCTGGCTCGTGTGGTTGCACGTGTTATTCTGCAGGCCGTCCTTGTTTTCACTCAGATTATGCTGACGACCGCAGGAAACCCTAAACCCAGGAGCCCCAGCGTGCTAAATCGTGGCAAGGAGTGCCTTCATGATCTCGGGATTCCGGCGGGCGTCCGCGCCCGGCACCCAGGAGACTTTCGATACTGAAAGCTACTCGAAGGATCCTGGGACTGAGCACTTGGCCTTCGAGTCCAACGCAAAACTTGAACATGCTTAAACCGTTGTTTCCTCGATGGTAATGTTTCTTGAGGGATCTATTGCGGCTCACAACGTTCAGCCTTTGGTGGCGTATGCGGTGTGAGAGCTCAAGCTTAGCCAAGCTTTGTTTGGAAACAACACCCTGAACATTCCCAAACTCTAAACCCGACGGAAAGGCGGAAAATAACAAAAATAGCTTAAACCCTCAGCCCTACCGAAGCCTGTGAAATGATCATGATTGTATTGCAAACCATCCCGATCCTTTGGGGGGCTGCTTTGGGCCAGCCGTTTCGACCAACGTCTTGCAAACTCACAAACTAACATCCGCATAGTCACCTTCGGTAATTCATTTGGCATCCACCTCAAGGTTTTTTTCTGTTTTAGTTGCTCATGCTTAAATGTAAAGCGATACCTTTTGCATTCTTGCTTAGGGGAATGGAGATAAAATCGCTTGTAATCCTTATATTTTGAATGTGATTCGTTCGCTGAAACCCTATTCTACTTGATTGCCAAGGCATTTTTACTACGCTAAGCCCTCAACCCTAAACCCCTAAACCCTAAACCCCTAAACCCAAAACCCTAAACCCAAAAGCCTACTCTTGGGACATTTTTTAGTTTCCTTATATGGGTTTATAAGGGGCCCTTTGGCTTAAACCTTCAACCTTGACATGCCGGAACCCTGCAGCATTTAATATCCTAAACCCTGAACACTAAACTTACTCAGCCCACTTCAGAGCAGCGATGGGCTGAGTTCCCGTACCTTGGGGAGCAAATGACCCTTGTAATCAGGGGCCCTATACCGTTGTGCTATGAATCCCTACATGGTATATGACCATTAAACCCTTTTAGGGTCCACCTCGTCTGTAAGCCCTGCACCATTACCATAGCCATAGACCCTATAGAAGCCTCACTTGGCCCCCTCAAGGAGCCCTTACACAAAGGAACCCCTGAAACGAACCCCGTGTAGTCCTTAAGGTCAACCCCTATAGGCCCCTAATGTAGGGGCCTTAGGGTTTAGGGTTTAGGGTATAACCTTATTCTAATCATTAAGGTTTCTATACTAAGCCCTAAACCCTCAACTCTGTATACCCTGAACCCTACACCTCCCAGACACCTAAACCCGCTGGGGTTCGTTTTAAATCACCCTGAAACACCAAACCCGTAAAACCCTAAACCCTAAAACCTTAAGACCCTAAAGGAAGCTGGAGGGCCAAGATGCGCTTCTCGGAATCTCCGACAGCCCGGTTGTTTGGGAATTCAAACTTAGGGGTTTAGGGTTTAAGGGTTTAGGGTTGAGGGGTTTAGGGTTTAGGGCTCAGGGCTTTGGGTTTAGGGTTTAGGGAGTAGGGTCAACTTAGTAGCTGAGTAGGTAACCTGTAACCTTTTGGGGTTTATATAATCCTACCATATACGAAAAGGTTAACTTTTTTTGGGCCAGGGTACTCAGCCCCTATGTTAAAGTGGTCAGTTTCAGCCTTGAGCCACCAACCGTAGTGCATGCGAGCAGCATGCATGAAACGGAAAGAACTTCGAAGGCCGACGTTTAGTCCTGTTCCGTAGACAGAGATGCCAACATTGGTCAAAACCCATTCAGAGAACCCAATTCACCTCAATTAAGGAATATACCTTAAGTTATAGGGGCTTTAATATTATGACTTAACGCCTAGTCCTTAATTGCGGAGTAATGGGTTCTCTGGGCACGTCCTCCCCAGATCTTGGATCTGTACGTTCTGCGGGACAACCGGAATCGGCGCGAGACGAGGCGGCCCGAAGGAAACGCTTTTTGCGGTATCGATTCAGGTTGAGTCTGGGACATTTTCAGGCTGGTAGTTGCCGTTATAGAAGCCTTATAGAAGGTCTATATACCTTATCGAAGCCTTATAGAAGCCCTATATACCCAAAACTCCCCACCTGTACTTTTCTTTAATTGAAACAAAATGCACCACCTGGTCCTAAGCCCGAAGCCTCAAACCCTGTATTGTCTGACTTTAAATCTTAAACACAAGAGTCTAAGCCATAAGCAGGTAGTGCATTAACCCCGCAAACCTACCTTTGCAAGAAGTTGCAGAAGGAAATCATAAGACATAGCCGGCAACACGATGGGGTTTGCGCTTCATACCGTACAGTAGGGTTTTGGACACTTCATGACATCCCATCAGCTGGGGCTGGTATAGGGTTCACGATGCACAACAGGAGTCCGGAGGCATGACCATAAACCCAATTCCTAAACCTAGCCATCAAAAAGCCGCTCACCCCAACCCGAAACCGCAGGAAGGTTCGGGGCTTCTGAGGGGCGAAATGGGTCACCAATAGAATTTGGCTTGAAGCCTAAACCGAAAGCCCCAAACCCTGAACCCGGAACCTCACACCCGAAATCCTAAACCCCGAAGCCCTAAACCCTAAACCCTAAACCCTAAAGCCCACACCCGAAATCCCAAACCTGCATCCCCAGGCCCGACACCCAAAATCTGTAGCTTGGAGGAGCTCCCGGGATCTTGAACCCCCAAAACTATCCAAGACTGGGTTCTTGTTGAGGGATGTAATTTAGGTTACCATAAACCGGGATCTACAGTAAATAATATGGTATTATTATTATAGCAACTCAAATTGAATCCCTTAACAGGAGCCCAGAAAAGCCTGTGGGCTTAGAGCCTAGGGCATTCCGGGCCCAAAGCTGTCGCAACTCCCTTCTTCCTGAACCGGAAGCTGCCTTGCAACCTTTAAACCCTGAATCCTAAACCCTAAACCCTGAAGTTACAATCCCTTATAAACCCTAAACCCTACCTGCTAACACCTAAACCTCTAAACCCTTGAGCCCTAGGGTTTTGGGCTTACGGTTCCCCAAAACCCCAAACTACCTAAACCCAAGGCCCCGAAAAACGAACGTTGAGTCCTCGATGGGGATCTGAAAACGGCAAGAAGTGTGGTTCGGTATTTTAGGGGCTGGATGGCTAACGGCGGTCTCTATGGTTTCGTCAAAGGGCACACGAGAATCGGATTTGCGATTTGTAGTTTAAGGCTTAGGTTGTTTTTAAGGTTCGGGGGTTTGGGGTTTAGTGGTTTCGAGTTCAGGGGTTTGAGGGTGGAGGCGTCAGGTTTTGGGATAAAAGGGTTTGAAGGCTTTCGGATTCAGAGTGTGGGTTTAGGTTTTAGATTTAGGGTTGAGCCTTTAGAACTCCAAACCTAAACCCTAAACCCTAAACCCTAAACCCTAAACCCTAAACCCTAAACCCTAAACCGCAGGAGCAAGCCTGAAGAAAGCCGAAAAGTCCAAACTAGAATCTTTTTGTTCGTAAAAACCCTCAAACTACAGACGGCGTCTTATCGTAATCCAAGCAGTACTCCGCATAATTGCGGGTAGCAGCTGCAACACTCACTCAATTCTGATTGAAAAGCTTGTGGAAGCCATGCAATGAAGCCCGACATACCAACAGAACTAGCCTAGACCCCAAACCTAAACCCTACACCCCCAAACCCTCAAACCAAAAGACTCGGGAAGGCTGCTACCGATGTTGACCTTCATCGCCGGTCCCATGTGGAAGAACCTGTTTGGCCATTCGGCGGAGCTTTTCAAAGGCGATGCTGGATTTTGCCTTTGTCTTTAATTCTTGGATTTGAGGTTTTAGTTCAGGGTTGGGGGTTGTGGGGGTTTTGGGGTGTTAGTTAGGCCTTCAGGGTTTTAGCATGATGGTTCGCTGGGTTTTTATCATATCGGTTCTTTGAAGGATTTTGCAACGGGCTTGTCGCGGTTTCAAGAAGAAAAGGGTAGCGGTTGCGACAGGTTTCAGGTTCAGGGGTTTAGGGTTTAGGGTTTAGGGTTTGGGATAACTCATACCAAAACGCGCTTTGATTGAAGCCCTACACCCTAAACCCTAAACCCGCACAAATTTGGGCAGGGCAGTGCAGGGCAGAGCACGGGGGGCAAGACAGGGGAGAGAGCCAGAGCAAGCGCTATCTTGAGTTTAGGGTTTAGGATTGACGGTTTAGGGTTAAGGATTGGCTTGGAAATTATTGATTTCATAGCATGTGGAGTCCTAAGCGCTCTGATGCAGCTCAGAATACGTTCTGGTACAGCCCAGGATGGTCCCCAAAGATTATGGTGCAGCCCAGAATATGCGCTAAACCGTATTATGCAGCCCAGAATAATCTCTGAACACTATGGTGCAGGCCAAAATCGTTCCATCCGATGATGCAGCCCAAAATAAAGGCTCAACCCGATGCTGCAGCCTGAACCCCTATGATGCAACCTAGGATAATCTCTAAACCTTACTTGGAGGATTATGAGGCTTAGTAAGTAAGGTTATAACTACCTTCATTGGGGGTTATAATTGCTTATAAGTCAAGTTACCTGATTTATAACCCTAGTTACTAAGTCCCATGATCCTCCCAGCATGATACACCCCAGAGTAGGCTTGAAACGGAAAGCCTATGTTACACCCCTAGAATCAACCCTTTAACCCTATGATAAAGGCCCACAACAAGCCCTAAACCCTAAACCCTATGATACAACCCAGGAGAGGTTCTGACATATACAGCACAAAATGGCCACATAAAAGCCCAGAATCGGCTTCCGATTTGCCCATGCCCGCTTGGGTTTAGGGTTTAGCGTTTAGCCTTGATTTGCCTACGTGCACGAAGGGTGCAGGTTCAGATTTGCCTATGCGCGCGAGGGGTGCAGGTTCAGATTTGCTTATGCCCACGAAGGGTGCCGGCTCTCATTACCTATGCCGAAAGGCACAGGTTCAGATTTTCCTATGCCCACAATAATGCAAAGGGTGTAGATTCAAATTTGCCTATGCCGAAGAAGAGTTTCGTTTTCGAATCTAAGGTATAGAAGTCGGAGTAGTTAGTGATAATAAGATCCCCCCCCAGATTCGCTATATGCGTAGGGTGTAAAATACCCCGCTTATTAAGGCCCTAGTATGAGGGCTACGGGGCCTGCAGAGGGTCTTGAGGGTCGGACCTTGTTTGTGCAGAGTAGCTTGTGGATGGCATTGTATCTCGATCTCCATACCTTTGCCATGGTGACGGGTCAATTTTTCCCGCGTTCTTGCCCAGCTTTGCAGAACTTGTCGTTGGTTAAACTACAAACTCTTGAAAATTTCGACCCTTGACAAGAACGTAAAGCCCAGTAGACCCTGTCATCGCACTGCGACCTTGCTCGCCAGCTGAGACGGACGACAATTCGTGCCCCTTTCGTCCTTGATCGGGCCTTAACAGTTGGGTAGACTATGGTGTGAATATGTTAAGGAAACCCAAGGCACAATGTTGGTAGTCCTTCCGGCTTCTTTCCCATATGAGGGGTAGTTACACACATCAGGGGTTCGGCCCTATCCTTGCATCATGGCTCAGGCTTCGAGAAGTTTCTTGTGCTTGTTAGGGTTTAGGCCAGAAGGCCGTGAACTGCCGGATTTGGGTAGGTTTAGGGTTTAGGGTTTAGGGTTTAGGGCCGCGGCCGATTCAGTCAGGATAATGAAGACGAATCTTCTGATCATCTGATGTCAAGCCACTTACAACAACCAAGTTTCCAGCTGTGACAGCTGGCTGGTGAAACTCTACACAATACCAGACCTAAACCCTAAACCCTAAACCCTAAACCCCAAACCTAAACCGAGTGGTGTATAGTGGTTTGTGTTGTTGCAGGTGGTTGAATAAGTTGTGGGTTGGGCAGCTTGCAACAGCCTCAGCCAAAGTGGCATTCGACTTAACTAACAAGGCAGGTGGAAAAGAGGTGTCAAACAAAGAAAAAAACCTAAACCGAGCTTTGTAGTTGTTTTCTGGAGGTTGGGCCTGGGGTTGATGTTTCAGGTTTCAGGAGCGAAGGCTCTTCGTTGCAGGATTCACCTTTAGAGTTAGGGTTAGGGTTAGGGTTTAGGGTTTAGGGTTTAGGGTTTAGGGTTTGGGGTTTAGGTTATCTCTCTTCACCTACACTTTAGCAGCCATTACCCCTTAGGTAGTAGGTAGAACCCATAAAACTGTAGGTACCCAGAGAACCCAATACCCTTTAATTAGGGGAATATACCTTAAATCATAATATTAAGGCCCTTATAATTTAAGGTATATTCCTTAGTTAAGGCGTATTGGGTTCTCTGGGTACTTAGAGTCCCAGGCCCCCGTTTCTTGCTTTTGTGGTTTGCAACTCGAGGCCTGAGGTTATTTGGTTTAGGGTTTAGGGTTTAGGGTTTAGGGTTTAGGGTTTAGGGTTTAGAGATCCGACAGTTTGAACAAACAAGCCCTTGACCCTGCTGTTGATGATATAATTCCTGCATTACCGTAAGGGCCCCAAACTATGGGAATTATGGTATATTCCTTATTATGGGTAATGTAGGATTTATATCATCAACCGTACATCCCCCCAACCCCCACGGAAGGTACTACGTGAACGATAAGACGCTGCTGGTGAATCGATTCATTTCCGTCCCGCGCGACCTGGGCGATGTGAACTGCGGCGCGTAGCACTGGCATGGCGGACTTTCAGACGGTTTGATCCATGAACCTTGAATCCTAGGCCCTGAACCCCAAGTCCTACTTAAAGTATCATCGGACCTACTGTGTAGGTTTATAAGTGGAAAATACAGGTATCCAGGTCGAAGCCTACCCTATTGTTACATTTGCTGGTAAGCTAGTCACCATTGGTTCTTCAAGTAATCACATAGTTCTAGACTGTGCTCATACCCTCACCCCCAACCCTCAACCCCTAAATCCTAAACCCTAAACCCCTGTTAGAACCCAAGACCGTGAACCTTCGGTCGGTTTCTTAGGGCCCCAGAGGTTGTTGTTTTAAAGGCTTCGGTCTCCGACAGGTAGGCGGTTTAGGGTTCAGGGTTTAGTTTTTGGTCTAAGGCCTAGGTTTTACCCGAAACCCCAAACCCAAAGCAACCCAAAACCCTACACCGAAATCCTTGAAAATCAAACCCGACCTCCTTAGTGAAGGGCTTGCTAAAGTATTGCCAAAAGCACTGTGTATTCCCACAAAGCCCACCCACAACTCCGCAAACGCGGAGTATCCCCTAAACCCATTTCGATCCTTGATATTTTGATTTAGGATATGCGTGAATAAGGTGCATCCCCCAAAACTCACTCGGGTCCATCATAGGACACAAGGTATGTTTGAATGATGAGTATGTGGACTCAATGGGGATTTTGTAGCCACTTCTTAAGTCAGGGCTTAAACCCTAAACAAACCCTAAACCCTAAACCCTAAACCTTAAACCCTAAACCCTAAACCCTAAACCCTAAACCTTTGGCTGTGGGATTCGTTTCTGAGAATCCTTGCCACCTCGGCCCCGACACACCCGAAGCAAAGGCACTACCCGAGACCGGTTTAGAGTCCGGGGCTTGGTTAGGGTGTAGGGTTTAGGGTTTAGGGTTTAGGGTTTACCTTAAGAACCCCAAACCTGCTTTTTTGTAGGGTCCCTATAAATCCCATATTAGGGTTTATAATAAGAACCTACAAAAAAGTGGGTTTTGGGTTCTTAAAGTAGGGTTTAGGGGCCTAAGTCCTGACATTCTTTGAGTCCTTTGAGAGCCAGGTTCGTTGCAGGCATGGTGGAAGGTGGCGGTCTCAGTGGTCGCGTTCTTCAACCGAGTTGCTAGACACACAGGTTGAAGGGATTTAGGAAGGGGGTTTAGGTTCAGGTTTAGGATTTAGGGTTTAGGGTCTAGGGGCTTGGGGGTCAGGTTACATTCAGAGTCGTAGAAAGCACTGATTGGGCTCAAACATCCGTTTCTGTGAATTCTACTTATAACCTACGTACCACGTCCGCCGATCCTTTCAGCCTGCCCTGGTTCTCGAGATCCCAGGGATGACGTGCCCACCCTAAACCCTAAACCCTAAACCCAGGGACCTGCCCCGGGGCTGCGGCTTGGGGGTTTAGGGCCAGGGTGTAGGGGCCTATGGTTTGAGGGTCCAGGGTTTCAATTAGGGCTTCAGGGTCTACTTGGAGGATCATGGAACTTAGTAAGTAAGGTCATAACTACCTATTAATTGGGGTTATGATTGCTTATAAGTCTAGTTACTTTATTTATAACCCTAGTTACTAAGTCCCATGATCCTTTAAGTAGGGTTTAGTAGCCGCTCGTAGTCCTGTGACTCTGCGGGAAGAAGAATTAATCCAGCCCCCAAAGGCTTCTTGAATTATTGCTCTGGTCTTTCTATCCTAAACCCTAAACCCTAAACCCTAAACCCCCCCTAACCCTAAAGCCCTAAAGCCCTAAACCCTAAAATCTAAACCCTAAACCCTAAAACCCTCAACCCTAAACCCTAAAACCCTAAACCCTAAACCCTAGAACCGTTTCTATCCAAGGGCTAAGGGTGTACTTAACGGTGCTAGTGGGATAAAAGGCCTGAACCACTCAACCCCTTAACCCTCAACCCCTCAAGCCCTAAACCCTCAACCCCTCAACCCCTAAACCCTAAACCCTTCAAACCCTCAACCCTAAACCCTAAACCCTTCAAACCCTAAACCCCTAAACTCTAAACCCTAAACCCCTAAACTCTAAACCCTAAACCCTAAACCTTAAACCCTAAACCCTAAACCCCTCAACCCCCAAACCCTCCTTTCTGCAGGGATGCTGCGAAGTGCGGAGTTCCCTGCAACGGTCAAAGCCCACAACATGCCGGACCATCCAGGTGGGGGCTAGGGTTTAGGGTTTAGGGTTTAGGGTTTAGGGTTTAGGGTTTAGGGTTTAGGGTTTAGGGTTTAGGGTTTAGGGTTTAGGGACGTACAGTTGATGATATAAATCCAAGCGGGTTAGGGTTCAGGATTTGGGGTTTTGGGTTCAGGGGTTTAGGGTTTAGGGGTTTAGTGTAGGAGCCTAAATAATTACCTATACTACAGTTGATGATACAAATCTTGCATTACCCCAGAATAAGGAATATACGCCATAATTCCCATAGTTTAGGGTCCTTAAGGCAATGCCGGAGTTACACCATCAACAGTAGGGTTGAGGGTTGAGGGTTTAGGGTTTGGGGGTTTTGGGGTTAAGGGTTGAGGGTTTTGGGGTTTTGGGGTTTAGGGGTTGAGGGTTTCGGGGTTGAGGGGCTTCGGGTCATAAATCCCTGTCGTTAATCCTCTTAGAAGCCCTATTGTCATCCCAGGCCTGGCGAAATTCTGGAATTTGGAGCTGTTTTTCCATCTGCCTGCCCGGTTGAATTGGTGAATTCCTAACTACAACACTGCTTAGCCCTGAAGGACCCCAATATAGGGCCTAAATAATTACCAATACTATTTTGGGGGTCCTTCTTATAAGTATAGTATAAAGGGCCCCACCAAAACCCTATTCTAATTTTTAGAACCCAAAACCTACTTTTTTGTAGGGTCCCTGTAAATCCCATATTAGGGTTTATACTATGAACCTACAAAAAAGTGGGTTTTGGGTTCTTAAGGTACACCTTAAACGGCCTAGGGCTATAAGGTTCAGGAACTCCCGTTTAGGGTTTAGGGTTTAGGGTTCAGGAACTCCCGGCTGGTGTTTGGGCTTTAGGGTCGGTTTTTTTTTTACAGAGTTTACGGTTTTAGGGTTTGGGTGAACTCAGGGTTCCATAAGTCTTCATAGGACTTGATAGGTTTAGGGTTTAGGGTTTAGGGTTTAGGGTTTAGGGTTTAGGGTTTAGGGCTTAGGGCTTAGGGTTTAGGGTTTAGGGTTTAGGGTTTAGATCATACCTAGGGTTTTGAGTCTGGGCCAATCACAG